GGAGGGCACAGCAAGCAGTCAGAATGTGCAAACTGGAAGAGAGCCCTCACCAGCACCCTCCCCCCCGACGCTGGCAGCCTGCTCTCAGACCCCAGGTTGCTATGAATGGAGTTCTATGACTTGTAAGCCACCCAGCAGATGCACTGTTAGAGTAGCCCCACGTGGACTGAGACACACCCCAAATGCTCCTTCATTCATTTCCCCAGGGATCTACGTCTGGAGATTTTGTACCTCCTACAGTAACAATAAAGAGAGGGACTAGGACCTTCCAGGTGAAATCTTCCCTGAGCCATCCCACACAGTGCCCACACGTCCTGTGGGGCAGACCCTCTCGCCAGCCCCATTTTACACAACGGGAAACCTCAGGCACACAGAGGCTACCTATGTCTCCTAAGACCCCACAGCTAAGAAGAATGATTGGCAGGATCTGAATTCAGGTCTGTGTTGCTCAATCCTGAGCATTTACACTGTGCCACCATCTTCTTTCAAATTATTATAATCATATTACCAAACTGCATTATTAAGTACTAATTCCTGGCTGGCGCTGCGGCTCACTAGGCTAATCCTCCGCCTAGCGGCGCCGGCACCCCAGGTTCTAGTCCCGGTTGGGGCGCCGGATTCTGTCCCGGTTGCCTCTCTTCCAGGCCAGCTCTCTGCTGTGGCCCGAGAAGGCAGCGGAGGATGGCCCAGGTGCTTGGGCCCTGCACCCGCATGGGAGACCAGGAGAAGCACCTGGCTCCTGGCTTCAGATTGGCACAGCACGCTGGGTACAGCGGCCATCTTGGGGGTGAACCAATGGAAGGAAGACCTTTCTCTCTGTCTCTCTCTCTCTTACTGTCTAACTCTGCCTGTCCAAAAAAAAAAAAAAAGTACTAATTCCTTTTCCTTTCGATTGATGAGATCAATTGTAGAACCCGGCTGTGCCCAGTTGCTTGTGGGTGAGCTGTTTTGCTTCATGTATGCAGCCCTCTTGTAAGAGATCTTGAAACCTGAAATTGTAGTGAAGATCCTGCCCCATGGATTTTTTTCCCTGAGTTTTTCTCCTTCTTTTTAAAAATTCAGGTGAAGTTCACATACCATATAGTTAACTGGATCAAAGTGAACAACTGAGGGCCAGCGTTGTGACACAGCCAGTTTAAGCCCCTGCTTGGGAGGTCTGCATCCCGCATCAGAGTGCCCAGGTTCAAGTCCCACCTCTGCTTCCGATCCAGTTTCTTGCTGATGTGCCTGGGAGGCAGCAGACGATGGCCCATGTACGGGGGTTCCTGTCACCGACCACTGGAGATCTGGGTGGAGTTCTGGGCTCCTGGCTTCAGGCTGGTGTAGCCCTAACTTTTCTGGGCGTTTGGGGAGTGAACTTGTCTGGCAGATGAAAGATGTCTCTCTCTCTCTCTCTCTCTCTCTCCCTCTCTTCCTCTCTCTCTCTCTCTCTTTCCCCCTCTGTCACTCTGCCTTTCAAATAAATAAATAAATAAATAAATCTTAAAAAATACAAATACAGTGAACAATTCAGTGACATTTAGTACATTCATGACGTTGTGCAACCACCACTTTGATTTGATGCCAAACTTCTGGTCACCCCAGAAGGAAAGCCTGCAGGCATGAGGCAGTTACTCCCCGTCCTCCCTTCCTCGGGGACTGACATCCCCCAGCCTCAAGGGGCCGGAGAGCCTTGCAAGCACCTTTCGATTCCGCCCGGCCTCCCCTAGCCACTCTGGACTTGGTGTGAGTCTCCTCCCCAACTCTCCCCCAAAGTGGCCAGAGGTGCGGGAGCCTGACAAAGCAGGCAGGCGGAATATCACGGAGTTGGCTTTTATCACAATGGGCCCTGGAATCTGCTTAATCGCAAAATACTAAGCAGCAGGACAAAAAGTGAGCCCCTGTGTCGCCGGACTTCCCCGTCTGTTACCGTCCCTACACAATGGCGTTCTCTGCTACTGCCCATGCGTGGGGAATCGCAGTCAGGAGGCGTGTTTTGGAGAGGCTTTTGCACCGAAGGAGGACACAGCCAGCTCCTTTTGCTTGAAGGCTGTGTGGACTGCATGTGCCATGAAAGATCAGGGTTCCAATACTGAAACAAAAACACGCGCGCTCCCTGACAGTTTGTGAAGCATTGCACAAACCGAGAGTGAAGTTCACCCTCGACAGTGGAAGGTAGCACGATTACTCCCATTGTACAGATGGGCACATGAAAGGAGGTTACATGACTTGCCCAGGTGGCACAGCTGGAAATGGCAGGCAGGCCTTCCCAGCCCCAATGACAGTGCTCATGACAGGATGGTAGACTTCCGCTGCCCTCATCAGGTGGGCGCCCAGAGAGACACAGTGGTCACTGCAGGATTGCTAGAGGGTTCCCAGATTATCCCCAAGACCCCATTGGCCCAAATTTGCCAGATCCATCTCCATCTGGTTGATGGGTGAGGCCGATGCCAGGAGTCTGTAACTCCATCTTGGTCTCCCATGTGAGTGGCAGGAACCCAAGTATTTGGGCCACCATTTTCTGCCTCCCAGGTGCATTGGCAGAGAGCCGGGTCAGAAGCAGAGGCAGGATTAGAACCCAGGCACTTTACAGTCTCATTGTATACACTGAATGAAGACCAGCCTCTCTGACACACATACCTGTGTCTCCAACTCCTCATCCAGGTATCTCTGCCTTCAGTGGAGTGCAGGCCAAGCGTGATCCAGCCCCTGCCCCCACCTTTACCTATTCTTGCTTGCTTCTTAGCCCCACAATGGACACCCTATGCTGCATTCATATCAAAGTGTTGAAGATCCCAAGCTGTTCAGAAACTGCCTTATCCCCATGCCTTTAACAATTATTATTTTAAAAAAAGATTTATTTATTTATTTGAAAGTCAGAGTTACACAGAAAGAAGAGACACAGAGAAGGAGAGGTCTTCCATCCACTGGTTCACTCCCCTGTTGTCTACAACGGCTGGAGCTGCACCGATCTGAAGCCAGGAACTTCCTCCGGGTCCCCTGCTTTCCCAGGCCATAGCAGAGAGCTGGATCAGAAGTGGAGCATATGGGACTTGAACCAGCGCTCATAGGGGATGCCAGGCAGCAGCTTTACCCACTACGCCACAGCGCCGACCCCGCTTTTAACAATTAATAAGATAATACTAACAACGGTGCCAACTCTCTCCTGGTTCTACTAATGCTAATTCTATATACATGTGCTATTTCATTTAATCTGCACCACAACCTAATGAGGCTAAGTATTTTCCATTCCATTACACAGATGAATAAACTGAGGCTCCCAGAGGCTAAGTCCTCGGGCTTTGAAGTCAGACAATTTGGGGCCATGCACAGCTCCTTTGCTGTCTAATCAGCATGATCTGGGTGAACTCTATCTCTCTCCCAGCTTCACTCACTACACTGAACCTCTGGCCTCAGGGGACTGTTGTGACAATTAATTGATGTGGGCACGTCCTCTGGCACCCACAATGCCATTTTGCACGTGGTTCAGCTCTGATTCCAAAGGATCTGTTTCCTGCTTCTCAAGTTCATAGCTCAAGCTCCAGTTGTCTACAGCGAGTGTGCATGCGTCCCTTTCTCTTGGCTCTGCCAAGCTTAGAGACTGCTCAGAGCCACACACAGGGGTGGGTGGCAGAACCAGGATTTGAACCCACTGCCCTTGCCCTTGCAGGTGCTTCCCTTACCCCCACTTTGCCTAAATGCCTCTGGAAAATTCTAGGGCTTTCTGATCTCTTTTTTCTGCCTCCTCTGGTTCTCATCCTTCCCTACCCCCATTCACTTGATCATCTGTGTAACTGTCCTGCAGTTCCTGTGCACTTGGGCCCCCATTCCCCTCCCTCCTTCTCCCCAGGACCTCCTGAGAGTCCCCTGGAAACTGTAGCATCTCCTAGCACTGGACCTGGGCAAGACAAAGGGCTCAATCAGCACTCAGTATAATTTGGGCACAGCCCATCACCCCCAAGATGGCTGCAGGGGAAGGGGAGAAAGAATGCGAGTAACACGAGAGCTTCTGATGGGACCCTTCTGACGCTGCGCTGGAGGTCAGAAGACAGTCCAGAGAGCTCTTATCTGCCTGAGAAACCCGGCTGAACGTCTAGATCATGGTAGGCTGCCTCTGAGGGCTGGGGGAGCAAGGCAGAGGGAAGAATAATGTTTCCCAGGCACGTGTCGTCACGTGCAGGAAACCGCATTCTTCCACATTAAACACAGGGGGGAAGATGGGGTCTCCCATGACCCCCGACACTGGAAGAACAGCGAGGAGCTGCTTAACTGGGAATTTCTGTGCTCAGATCCTTGGAGAGCCACTTGGGGTAGCACATCCTTGCCTATCTCCAGAGGCAGCCGGGGCTGGGGGTTCGGAGGGCCAGACCGCCTGGGTCTACACCCTGCCTCTGAGCCCCGAGTGCGGGACCGTCTCTCTTTGGGCCTTTTCCATCTTCCAAAGGACGAATAGCATTCGCCCCCCACCCCCCTACCCCCGCCCCGGGGAGTGCTGCTGTGCAGGGCTGGGCACCCATCCCTAAGTCCAGGTGAGCGGGAAGGGGCCCCGGGGGCAGGGTCCCGGCCGGCCTGCAGCTCGGTTCCAGCAGGAGCCAGCCCGACAGGCGGTGACCTTGCGGCCCCCCACCCCCCGCGCGCGCGCCTCCCGGGGCGGGAGCTCCCTCCCGCGCACCAGGAGGGCGAGGCGCCCCCCGCAGCCTCCTCCGGGCCCGCGGTGACTCGCCCAAGGTCGCCGCGCCCCGCCGCGGGTTTTGGGGTGGGGGCCGGCGCGGGGCGGTCCCGGGGCGCGGCGCGCGCTGACGCCGGGCCCCCGCGATGCGGCGGGGCCGGGCGGGGGGGAGGCGCGTCGGCGGCAGCGTCCTCCTTTTGTGCGAGCGCCGGCTCGGCTTCTCGAAGGTAAACGGCGCTTCCTCTTCCTCCTCGCCGCGTCTCTTCCTTTTATAGTTATTTCTCGCCTGGCACTCGCTGGGGCCGCCGCCGCCGCTGCTGTTGCCGCTGCTGCTGCTGCTGCTGCTGCTGCTGCCGCCGCGGCGGGCGCAGCTCGCGAACCTGTGGCGGTGACGTGAGCCCCGCCAACCCGGAAACGGCGGCGGTGGCGGCGGCGGCACCGGAGGCTCCCGGCACCCGCGCCCCCGCGCTCCCCTCGCCCGCCCGGCCGCTCGGCCTCCAGGTACGTGCCGGGGCTCCGCCGGCCCGAGCGCGCGCGCGCGCCTTGGGAGCCGAGGGCGCCCGCGGAGGGCGCGGGGTGCGGGGTGCGGGGTGCAGGGCGCGCGCGTGATGGGTGCGGGGCGAGGCGGGGGTGCGAGCCGGGCCGCGCGCCGCTGCGGGGGGCAGAGGGGAGCCGCTCAGATTGGGGAGGCGTCCAGGCTGGCCGGGGTGGTGGGCGCGGGAGACCCCCGAGGAAGGCCCCTCGGGTGTGCTGGGGGAGGCGGGAGGACCTTAGGGGAGCTCGCCACGGGCCGCCGCCGGGGGTCCATCCAGCTGCGGGGAGCGTGCCGCGTCGCCTAGTGCCCCCCGGGACAGGGGGCGCCCGAGTCGGGGTGGCTGCCCCGGGACAGACCCCTCCGCGAGCCAGGTAAGGGCGCGGGGAGCGACCCCCAGCCAACTTCCGTTAGGGGTCTGCAAGGCCAAGTCGCTTAAAATTGAGGAACTAGAGGGGGTGAACACAATCTCCATCGGCCTCAAGACTTCCTCCTGGGGTAGCCACCGCCTGTGTTTAAAGAGCACTTCCTCTTTGCCTTTATCTTTTCATCATCTTTTTTTCTTTTTTTTAAATGGAAGTTCAGTGTTAACAGTGGGTGTCCTTGCAGCCGGCAGGGCGTCCCTGGAGCCGTGCACACACACACTGGGTCTGGAGGGGACCTGGCATGGGAGGAAAGGGGGACAGAGGACTTCCCATACTGGAGCCCCGGTGGGGAGGCGGGGAGGCGGAGGGGGGGCGCGGGGGGGGCTGCTTCCCACCCTGCTGTAAGAAATGCAGGGGTGTCGAGGGCCGGGTCGGGGGTGGGGGAAGGAGGCCCCGCAGAGAGTCTCAGGTGGACTTGGCACCTGTACCTTTAGTTCCTGGCTCTGCCTCTTAGAAGCTGTGTGACCTTGGGCAAGTGGCTTACCCTCTCAGGCTAAGACTGCTTGCTGTAGCATGGGCTGCGGTGAGTGGGGTCTGGAGAAGCTGAGTGTGGGGGGTGCGGGCCTGCAGGGGTGCAGCGATGGGAAGCGGCATTGTCCGTCACCTTTCACTTCTGCAGACCCAGCACCTAGGAGGGGTGCTCAGTAGACACTGGTGAAACGCGCCGGGAGGCGGTGAGCGCTGCAAGTGAGCCGGTGTAGATGCACATTTTGATTTCCTTGGCTTCTGTCCTCTGCCTCTTGGGTCCCCTATAGTTATGGTTTGCACCTGAGCCAGGAGACCTCACCTGCTCCCTAATTAGAGCTGTCATGGGAAAATATTGCCTGTCTGTGAAAGGAGGTTAAACCTCTGACTTTGAGACTCTCCCGTTCTTGGGGGATGGTGTTCGGTGGCCATGAAGAGGAAGCAGCACCTCTGTGACTGCACTGCTGATGGCTGGCCCCAGGGCGGGCGGCTGCGTGGGCTGCCAGCTGGGATGGTTTCCCAGGCCTGGGGTTCCTGTGCCTGGAGGGAGCTGCAGGAGATGGGTCTTCGCTCTTGCTTGGATGGGCAGAAGCGGTCAGCTGCCCTGAGTTTTCTTCCCGGCAGGCATGTTGTCATCTGCATCAGAGCGTGGTAGCAGAGGGTACGGGGGCTCCTGCACGGGACCCTTGGAAATGGCCCTCAGGGAGAGGCCCGCTGTGCAGTGCAGCACTTGAGAGCTTGTTGAGAGTTTGCTTCCCCCGACGACAGTGGTTCCTTCTTCCTCAGCACCCCAAGTCTTGCGTAGCCCTCTGCAAGGGACCCTTGGCCGGATGGGGTTTTCCACCCACCTGGAGGGAGCAGGCAGTGACGACTGTGGTTTGAGTGTGTGCAGATTCACAGAGGAGCGACGGTGACCTGTGCGGTAGAGAAATTATTCTCATTTTACCGAGACCTAGAGTCCAGGATGTGGCCCAAGGGAGGAGCCGATACGGGGCCTCAGCTGCGGCTTCTGCCGGCCGGGCTCCTGTTCTTCCTGGTGGATGCTGCCGCATTCCGGACGCTGTTTGTTTTCCCTGGCACCTGGCAGGCTCCCTGGCATTTGCTCGAGACTGTGTTCATGTTTTTTTTTTTGACAGAGTGAGCAAAAGGAGGATGGGTTCCCCCTTTGCTCTTGATGCTGCATTTCAAGGTCAGCGCACTGCCCTGAGGGCGACCTTGAAGTTGCTGTCTGGTGGTTCGTCCCAGTGTGGAATTCCGCATCCCTGACAGCTCTGACAGCGGCATCCAGAGACCAACGCACAGGAAGGGCTCCTGGGGGATGGCAGTGCCAGGAGGCTGTGGCCCCACTCAGCGCTGCTGCCAACACTTGGATCGAAGAGACCACCATTCATGTGGCTTCCGCGGTCTGGGACTTGGCCATCTGAGAAATTGCCTTGCCATGTAGGTGCAAAGTCAGGTGTAAAAATCAGTGCACTTTAGCCGTGCACCAGCTGTGCAACCTTAGCAGGTCACTACTCTCTCAGAGCCCTCCTTCCCTCGTTAATAAAAAGGCCAAATAAGCTCCAGCCCCTCTGTCCCATGGGGTTCCTGAGCAAGCTCCAAGTTCACATCTTTTTCCCTCTGATCACGCGCACGTGTGTGTGTGTGTGTGTGTGTGACCCAGTTTCTTCGCCCCTCGGAACCTCAGTGTTGTTATCTGTAAAATGGGGCTGGTGTATCACGGAGCAGGATTGCCTACTGAGCACCAGGTCCTCACATAGGTGGCCTTCCTGCTGGGTCTCCAGCAGTCTGCAGAGGGGTGAGGGGCGCACCTGGCTGCAGGGCACACTGGTTGGCACCTGAGGACGAGGGAGGTTAGGGACGCCAGAGTCGGTGGGGCTTCGGGTTCGCACCGGCCTCTGAGCCCTGGGGCCTGAGGCTGCTTCATCTTTCAGCACTTGCTGCCTGGGAGTGTTGTTGGGGTCAACGCCGAGGTTGAGCGCAAAGCCACCCTGGCACATAGTAGGTGGTCAGTGTGTATCTGTTCCTCCCCACGTCCCCTCAGTGCTCTCTCTGACCGTTCCTGGGTCCCGTCACCCTGCCCCTCCCTAACGGAACTCCAGCTCTGCTTGGGAATTGGGCCGTTGGCTGACAGATCATTCCTAGATTGAAGTTGGAGCCCGTGAGCTTTCCCAAGTCCAAGTGTGCTATTTTAAACCAATTGTTGACCGGCTGTCGGGCGGCGCTTCCTCTCAATGGAGCGATGCCTGTAGCAGAGCTCATCAGGAGGAGTGAATGGGGGCGTCCTCGGCTTGCGTGCTGTCCCATTGATTCCCCCTCCTCGTTGAGGGCTTACTCACTGCCATCTGCTCCTTGAACATCGTGTTCACAAATACATAAATAATCGAAGTCGACCGGGAGGTTTGCTTAAAGGAATTGCTGCTGAGAGTGATTTTTATAAATATTTAAATTAATCTGAAACCATTCAGGGAGTTGCCAGGTTTATTAAAAAAAAAACAACAACAACAACTGAAGATGTGTTTTGGAGAGGGTCCATTTCTTGCCAAGTTGAAGGGCAGGAGTGAGGATGCAGGAACTGCCAGGGCTCTGTGTCTGCCGACCGAGGCTGGCAGGTGTGCAGCCACTCACGTATGGGGCGGGGTGTATGGGGAGGGACGAGGACGGGCCTCAGCACTTTTGGAAACTGCCTGGGTTTCCTTGAGGCTGTGAAAGCCAGTGCGTAACTTCTGCCAGGAACCCCCCTGGAGGCTGCGGAGTTCAGATCCTGCGTGTGAGTCAGGGGCAGGCTGCTGGAGGTTCCTTTGGCTGATGCTGGGTGCATTTCAGTGAGCCTGCTAAGGCCTGCCACTTGCAAGGCTGCCAGGTGGTGGAAGCCAGCGGCTTGGGTTGCAGGAGTGCTTCCTGGACTTGAGCGTGCTCCCTGGAATCACCTGGGCTTGCCATGCAGAGTTCAAGTGCAGGTTGTGGGCTGGGCCGGGAATCTGCGTTTCTGATACTTTCCCAGCTGAGCTGAGGCCTCTGGTCTGTGCACCGCACCTTGAGCAGGGTGGGCGTGGGGATCCTCTCCCTATTGCTCCTTCCTTCAGGACCTGGGCTGACAGTGGGGACGTAGGTCTCAGTGTGCACTGGCAGTCCCCCGGATGGCGTGTGGCTTAGAGGAGGAGGCAGGAGGCTCATGTGAAGCCACAGTGAAGGCCTGGGACAGACTGCAGGGAAGGCTACAGTGGGAACACAGAGAGGGGCCAGGGAAGAGACGCCCCCTTTGTCCACCAGCAGGGGCTTCCCTAGCACCGTGACCTGTCCAGGTGGGGATGGGAGCAGTGCCAGCGAAACAGCCCCTTCCCACTTGATCTGGGGCTAGAAGAGGACACATCTTGCCCAAGGTGCAGAGTCAAGGCTGGCAGCCAAGGTCTCCAGGCTCGCGAGCTGGGCATCCCCACTGCTGCACAGGGCCTGCCTGTTTGTACCGTGAGGCCTGTGCTTTAGCAGCAGGACTGTGTGGAGGCCAAGGGCACGCTGAGGCCTGGAGGTCCTCCCCAGATGAACGTGCCCTTGGCCTTGATGTTAAGCCCTTGAATCCATGGTGAGGAAGACGGCCCAGCACGGGAGAAGGGGCAGATCTGAAGTCAGCAGCGAGGACTGCCTCCCCTCCCTCCAGCTCCAGCAGGGGGACAAGCAGGGGGAAGGATGGTGAGGGGCAGTCACACAAGGGAGTTAAGGCCGGGAGAGGTATGGGCAGCTGCAGCAGCAGCAGCAGCAGAGTCCCCTCTTCTGCGAGCCTCCTCCTCCGGCCCTTGCAGCTCCCTGGCTCCTGTTGCCCTGTGGAGCCCTGCGGAGCCCTGGCCCCGCCCCCCAGCCCTCGTCCCTGGGCAGAGCACAGCACGCGCTGAAGCGGAGTTGACACTGATGAAGTTGGGCAGGTATTGCTGCCCTTTGGGGCACGGCAGGGTCCAGTGGGATGATGCCTCTAAACCCCCTGGTGCAGAGTGCCCTTTGCAGAAATGCACCAGAGATACGCAGAGGATGTGGTCATGGATGGGTGGCAGGTGGGGGTGGGGTGGGGCTCCCCCAGTGCTCAA